GCAAGTTTGGAGAGTGCGTCCGCTTGAGCATTTTGACCCCTTGGGATCAGCTCTACTTCGAAAGATCTCAGCTTCGCAATTGTCGATTTGATCCTTGTGAGGTAAGCTGCCATTGAAGGCTCTTTAGCCTCATACTCCCCCCGGATCTGATTGGCGACCAGCTGAGAATCTGTCTTGAGGTAGACATGCTCGGCTTCCAACGATATGCACAGGTCTAAGCCAGCAATGGCTGCTTCATATTCGGCCTCGTTGTTAGAGGCTTTGAATGAAAATTTTAGTGCATACTCGAAGGTTTTGCCTTCGGGAGAGGTAATGACGACCCCTGCCCCCGAACCGTTCACGGTGGAGGACCCATCCGTGAAGACGGTCCAGATTTTCCTCCTTGCATCCAGAGTCTCCTGATAGGAGCACTCGGCCAAGAAGTCTGCCAAGGCTTGCGCCTTGATGGCTGTTCTCGGCTGATAACCGATACTGAACTCGGTGAGCTCGAAAGCCCACTTTGCTAGTCTACCGGATTTTTCAACCTTGCCGAGGACTTTCTCTAACGGCTGATCAGTTAGAACCGCTATTTGATGAGAATCAAAATAGGGTCGCAACTTCCGAGCAGCCACCACCACTGCATAAGCCACTTTTTCTAACAATGGGTAGCGCGTCTCGGCATCCGTCAGGGTGTGGCTGACGAAATAGATCGGCTGTTGAACTTTTTCTTCTTCCCTTAGCAGCACCGCGCTTACCGTGGCTGGACTGACCGCCACGTATAAGTATAGGATGTCTCCTACGACTGGCCTTGCCAGTGTTGGGAGTTGAGCCAGGTGTTCACGGAGCTGCTGAAAGGCTGACCTTTGTTCGTCTCCCCATTCAATGCCTTTTGAATTTTGGAGCTTCAGCGCCTTGAAGAAAGGGAGCCCTTTGTCTGAGGCTCGTGAGATGAACCTGGACAAGGCAGCCATTCTCCCGGCTAGACGCTGAATATCCCTTTTTGTCTTCGGCTCGGGGAGGTCTAAAGCAGCTTGTACTTTGGCGGGGTTTGCATCAATCCCCCTCTTGCTGACCATGAAGCCGAGGAACTTGCCTGACTTCACGCCGAAGACACATTTCTTCGGATTCAGCTTCATTTTGTATTTTCTGAGGGTGGCGAAGGTTTCGGCTAGGTCCGTGACATGATCTTTTTCTTTTATGCTTTTGACGATTGAGTCGTCAACATAAACCTCCATGTTTCGGCCTTTTTGCTCGGCGAAAACCTGATCAACCAACCTCTGATATGTTGCCCCCGCATTTTTCAATCCGAAGGGCATCATTCTGTAATTGTACAACCCGGAACTTGTTATGAACGCTGTTTTAGCTCGGTCCTCGGGGTGCATGAAGATCTGATGGTATCCCGAGAATGCGTCCATGAAACTGAGCAGAGCATGCCCGCTTGTCGAGTCGACCAGTTGGTCGATCCTCGGCAGCGGATAGGAGTCCTTGGGACATGCCCTATTCAGGTCCGTGAAGTCAACGCACATCCTCCAGTTACCATTTGCCTTCTGAACCATTACAACATTGGCCAGCCACTCCGGATACTGACAGGGTTCAATGAACCCAGCATCTAGGAGCTTATCGACCTCAGCTGCGATGTTCTGGTTCTTTTCGGCGGAGTAGTTCCGCTTTTTCTGCTTAACGGGTCGACTGGAGGGGTCGACATTAAGCCTATGGGAGACGAAGTCCGGATCAATCCCGGGCATTTCTGCGGCTGAGAAGGCGAACACGTCTCCACTGGCCCGTAGGAGTTGGACGAGTGCCGCACGGGTGTTTGGCTCCAGTGACGACCCGATGCTAACACATCTGTTCGGATCTCCTACGGTCAGTTCTATTGACTCGGTCAGGTCATCCGTCTCCATGCTCTTAGAGTTGGATTCCTCGAATTCCGGCCTGCTATCAATATTAGCAGACTTTCCTGACCGCGGCTGGCCATCAGAGTCGTTCGGCTCTGAGGCGGAGTCAGCCTTTTGGCCCCCATCAGATTTCTCGTTGTCTGGGGCTTCATTAGCCGAAACGTCTGAGCCTCTCGGCTTTTTGGCGTTTCGGTCCCGGTGCTTTTCCTCCCCATCGCCACGGTCGCCTCGGCGAGACGTGGATGGCTTGAGGTGATTGCATCGGCGGGCTTCTTTTTGACTGCCCTTTATTTTCTCGGAGCGTCCCTCGTCTGAAACGTATATCATGATTTGATGATACGTGGAGACGACTCCTTGAATGCCGTGAATGAGGGGTCTCCCCATGATCACGTTGTATGCAGATGGAGCATCTACGACCAAAAATTCGGCCATGATATTCCTAGCTGCTCGGCCTTCGCCGATGGTGTCAGGAAGTGTAATCTTCCCGTCAGGATACGAGGAAGAGCCGTTGAATCCAGACACCGGGTAGGGTGCGGGGTCCAGGTGCTCGGCTCCCATCCTCAGCTGGTCGAACGCTCCTCGGAAGAGGATGTTCGCCCCGCTACCGCCGTCGACGAGGGTCCGCCAGACGTTGCGGTTGGCGATGCCCAGAATGATTACTAGTGGGTCATCGTGGGGGTATACCACCCCCTCACAGTCTTCGGCTGTGAACAGGATGTTCGGCGCCGGTGACTGGGACTGCCGAAGCTCAGCCTGATGAATCTGATGGGTTAGACCCCTCAGTTGGCGTTTGGCTGTGCCTCGCGAGATTCCCCCGGAAATAACTAGGATGTCGAGGGACTCCTTGCCCTGAGGTCCCTTATCCTTCTTCCGAGCGAAGTTGAGGTCCTGCCGAGAATCTTTTTCAGCTTTTTTCTCCTCGCGCCTGTCCGCGAGGTATTGGCTCAGGTACCCCTTGCGGACCAGATCCTCAATCTGGTCCTTCAGCTGGACGCAGTCCTCGGTGCGATGTCCGGGTGAGTCATGGAACTCGCACCACTGGTCCTTTCCCCTCGTCTGATGCCAGGGAGGCAACGGACGAGGTTTTTTGAATCTCCCCTCGTCCTTCGTCGTGCTGAAAATCTTAGCACGGGGAAGGGAGAGTGGAGTGTATGAATCGTACCTTCCCGTGTAGGGAAAGTGTCTTTCCTTCTTCGGCTCGGCAGCAGAGGACGGTTCTGAGGCCTTAGCCTTCCCTTTCCTCTGCGCCGAGACTTCGGGCTGCTGCCCTTTCGGCTTCTCAATTCTCGGACGAGACTGAGACCTGGATCTGTTCCACTCCTCGGCTCGGATGAACCTATCCGATGCTTCCAAGGCTTCCTCCAGGGTCTGCGGGGGATGCATGACCATGAAGTCCAGGAACTTTCCAGCTTGGAGGCCGTTCCGTAGCGCGAACACGGCCAGGCCTTGATCCAGGCTTGTGATTCCGGATGACTCGTTGCTGAAGCGAGTCAGATAGTCGCGGAGGCTCTCGTCCTCCGCCTGCTGCAGACTCATTAGCTCTGCAGTGGTCTTCTCTCGGCGGTTGGCCGTAGAGAATTTGCTCTTGAACTTGTTGGAGAGGTCGTTCCAACCGGTTATGGAGCCTTCCTTGAGCCCTTTGGTGATCCAGGATTGGGCAACACCTTTGAGGGTCGTAGGAAAGTATTTACACCAGGTAGCCTCAGACCTCGGGTTCAGATACATGTGCCCCTCGTAAGAGGCAATGTGATCCTTAGGATCTGAGGTACCATCGTAAGTAATATGTGCCGGGATTTTGACCGTTGGCACATGCTCTTCCAGAATCCACTTCTGGAAGGGCGAGTTCGATGGAACCATGACCGCCTTCCCCTTGTACCCGGCCTCAGGGACCTCGCTCCCTCCTCTCTCAGAGGTGGAAGTGGTTTTCGTCCCCGGCTGAGACAAGGTTGGGTGGGGTCCGGTATCCTCTGGGAAGGTGAGGCGGCTATGCACACTCACCTCCCTCGAACCCAAGCGTTCGTGAACACTTTGGCGGGCGAATTCCGGGTCCTTGGAGGGCCCCATGGAATTCTGAGCTTCAGAGTGGTCAGAGGGTTGAGGGTTCCTCCTCCTCTCCTTACTGGAGTTTCGGGTGTCCCCTCGCCACCTCTGGCCGAGCTGTCTATGTGGTGGAACTTGTCCACCATCATCCTGACCGATCCTCCTTTTCAGGTTTCTCGGCTGGTGATCATCAGGCATCTGGATTGGAGCCCCTTGAGCTTTAAGGAACTCCATGCAGATGGCCACTGCTCTGGCCACTTCCTCGGTGGAGGGTCCGGAGGGAGGAGTCTCCCGCGGATGTGACCTGGATTGCACGCTATGGCGCGGCGGGGAGTTCCTCGCACCTGAGCCACTCGGTCTCGGGGATGGCCCCGGCTGCCGAGTGTGGTGCGAGGTGTTCTCCTCCTGGAGGCTAGGACCTCTTGAGGCTTCCCTTTCCGGAGAAATGGGGGCCTCCGATTCGGAAGAGGCTTGCTCCGGGGAGGGATAAACCGGCTGGCGTTCCCTCACCGTAATCCGGCCTCCTCCCTTCTTAGCCTTCTTGGAACTCTTTCCACTCTTAGTCATGGCGACTGCCGGAGTGTTTGATGACTGACGCGAAATTTAGTAGCGGTCCCCACAGACGGCGCCAAATTGTTTCGGATGAAAACAATCGAATCTCGGAAGATCCTTTTATCTTGAGGGAACTTGGTCTCGGTCCGAACGACGCAGGAGCCGAGGGTTTCCTGCACAACAAATACACGTAAACTAGCCTCGGGGGGGACGCCGAGGAAGGCCCCTCCGATGCTTAAGTCAGTATATTAGAGAGAGAAAGCTGTGCAAGAGTTTAGTTGCTTGAGGCTTTATTGTCTTACCAAGAATTGACCAAATTGTTGGCTTTTATACCTTGGCTAATGAAGGAGGCGGATTGGGCCCGGAAGTCAGTTGGGCTGGGCCAAGCTGATTGGGCCGTTGACTGGCCTTGACATGGCTTTGAGGATGTTGATTTTTGACTTTAGCATATTTGGAGAGTTGAACCTTAGCCTTGGGCTTTTAATTGGATCATTCAGTGACCAGGCCCAATTGGACTAAATTGGACCCAAACACATGCAATACTTGTCAATGTACAAGTATGCCCTTGATGCATTGCTTATAAATGAGTATTCATGTCTTGTTACAAAGTGTTTGGTTTGGTATGAAGAGAGCAAGAGTTGTATGGTGACAGGACATGATGTGTTGGTAAAAAGAGGGTTACATGAAGGGCAAAGATGGAATAATGTTTATGTTTTAGTTGGGTTCTTTGTGCTCTATAGAGTGCTTTGTTTGTTGGTTTTAATTAAGAGAGTATCAAGGTCCAAAAAATAATGATGTTAATTTGATGATCAATTTTAATATGTTTGTTCTAAGTTGTACAAACAATGCAGTGTTACTATTATTGTAATTTGTTGAATATATAAGTTCAGTTATCTTATTTCCCTTTCAATAGTACATACATTATTGATTAGATTCGCTACATATATACATGCATGAGCATAAAATAAGACGTGGGACATTCATTGTTATATTCTGTTGTTTCACTTTCCGATCCCTTAGTGAATGTATGTACTAGTATGTATTTGAGATATGATTGTCCTTATCTAGCCAATGGTATATATATATTAAATATTAAACCCCATCAAAATGAGAAATAATGGGGCTTTTATTTGGCAATGAAAATCCTAGGAAAAATGACGCTTTTAATTAGGGATTGAATGTGTATTATAATTTTCTAAATATATTAATTCAGTTCTAAACGTCATAATCTGCATGCATCATCTAAACTAAACATGTCCATTCAAAAAAAAAAAAAAAAAAAAAATTCTAAACTTAACATGAGATGGATGTTTAACACAAAGAAAAAAATAGATTTTTCAACTATGCTCAATTTATGACTCAACAAACACATATTCCTAATGAGGTTCGACCCATGGAATTATTGGATGGACCACATACTCACATGCCATGGAGAGAATCTTGGTTAGGAAATTCAGCAGAGTATATGAAATAGGAAATTAAAAAGATGTCACGGGGTCCTTATCAAATATATCCAAAATAAAAACAGTATAAACCTCCAAAATTGCTTGTCAATTTTTATTTAAGCTTCTTGTTTCTGTCAAAAAAAAACAAAATAATAAAGTCTTTAAAAAGAATACTTGTTATAGTAATAATGGAGTTCCCCATTACTTTTGTTTAGCTAAGTGCACTCTGTTTGGTTGCACATGAATTTATAGGGGGGAAAAACTCACGGGATATAGATCTAAATCACCAACTACCACACGTGAACTTAGTTCGTTGCCTACAACGTAACTCAAACTCTTTCCAAACAGCTTATTATTGAAAAATTAAAACGAGCTAGTAAACTTTGCCTTTGATTATAGAATGTTGTGTTTCTAATGTTTACGGAATTAAACAGTAGATTACTGACTTGTATAGTTGTATGGATTATAATTTATAAGTGGTGTGATTCTAATTGTTAGATGTTATGTTTCGTATGTTCGAAATGATTAACTTCTTCTAGTGCAAGTGTGCAACGGTTGCACGCAATCCTAACTTAATTAGGTTATTATTGGGTTTAATCATCTACGTTGTATAACGGTTGTTGGGGGTATTGAGATGAGACGTTTGGAAGAGCGAGGCCATATATTCTTGTAAGAATCAAAGGCTTGGTTCTTAAATAATTAGTTGAAATAAAAGAGAAAATTAAATAGCTATTTTACACGTTTTTTTTATATTTACTTTATTTTACAAGTTTATGTGTCATAATCTAAATTTAGTACAAGTATTATTTTTTCTTAGCTTTGTTATTTTATTTATGGACAATAATATAATGAACAAACAAAATGGTGATGCATATAAAGTGTCACAAATGGAATGGTTATTCATTTATTCCATTAATTAAATCAATTAAGGAAAAAAGCATGTCAAAATAAATAAATAAAATTAAAAGTAAGTAAGCTTCTCCAAATTGACTAACGGTGTAACAAAACAATAAATTCTACTGTGTATACGTAGTATATAACTTACACACTAACAAGTTTTGGAGAAACGAATTTATTATCAACATTATATACATAACAATTAGCTGAGTTTACATCATTGGGGATGTAGCTCAAATGGTAGAGCGCTCGCTTTGCATGCGAGAGGCACGGGGTTCGATCCCCCGCATCTCCAATTGTTTTAGACTTTTTGTTAATTGTCTGAAATATGCGGTGCATATAGCACTGTCAAAAACCGACCCGAACCGCATTTTAGTAAACCCGAAACCGAACCGATCCGAGTAATGTTAAACCGTTTTAGAACCGAACCAAATCTAAACCGAACTGGAAAGGAAACCGAACCGAAAATAAACCGAACCGTTTCTAACCCGAAACCGTTTAAACTGGCATAAAAAACCGTTATAAACCGAACCGTTTACAAACCGAACCGTTTATAAACCGGACCGTTTATAAACCGAACCATTTATAAACCGAACTGTTTATGAACCGAATCCTTATAAATCGAACCGTTTACAAACTACTTACTACTAGGAGTGGTTATTGGGTGGGTCAGTGTGGGTCGATGCAGATCATTTACGAAGTGAGTCGGTTGCAGGTCAAGATGAATATTTAGCGGGACATAAATAATAACCAATAACTCGAGATAAAAAAAAGGAACAACATATCAATATGTAATGTGACTAAAACTATTAATACTTGTTCTATGAGATTAAAACATTTTAGCAATGAAGCAACACAATAAAATTAAAAAATCAGAAATTAAATGAACAACAAGAACAATAAAATTAAAAATTACATGAACAACATCAAAAAATCAGAAATTATATGAACAAATCAGAAATTATATGAAATTATATGAACAAATCAGAAGTAAAAATCAAAAAATAAAGACATGCAAATCCTGCAAACAACGAATCAGCAACATAAAACCGAAATGAAAACAAAAAAGTTAACATAAAATTACCTTTGAGCAGTGACGGCTTGAAGGAGAGGAAGATTTGAAGATGGAGAACTGGAGAATGAAAAAAAAAACGAGAATGGAGAGATCGAAAAAAAAATCGAAAAAAAACGAAACGAAAACAAAAACTATTAACTAAAATTTACCTTTGAGCTATTGAAGGCTAAGAGTTCAGAGCTTGAGAGTTGAGAACTTGAGAGTGAGTGAGGATTCAACGCTTCGATTTGAGGATGAAGAAGAAGAACGGTGAATGCTGTGGAATGAAGAGGATGAATGAAGAGGATGAATGAAGAACCTAATTGCCTTTCAGTCTTTCACAGTTTCACGTTTCACTTTTTTTTTTTTTTTTTTTCTCTTTTGCATAATATATGAACCACATGTTTATTTAATTATTAAAGAATCAAAATATCTAAATTCTAAATCTAAAATGTGTTTTTCCTTTTGGTTTTTGGAGGGAAATTTCCCACCATATTTTGTTGAAATTGTCAACCAAAAAAATGAAATTAATTTTCCACTTTGTAAAAATCAAAATTTTTAATTTTATTTTAATAACATTAAACAAACTTTTATACAATTAATTAATTACATGCCTTAAAAAAAAAACTAATTACATTTCTCGGATCCCGATAAAACGATATTCACCTTCATAATATCAGCTTTTATAAAATTTTTTTAACACACACATTAAAATATTAAGTTCTTTAAATTATAAAATGTGAATCGGTTAGCGTGTAATTTCTAGGCGTTGCGATTAATAAAAAATCGAAAATTGTTCAATAAATAATGATGTCATATCTTAGAGAGTTAGAAGTACTACGGATTTGTTATATGGTTATATTTATATCAGTTTAGCTGTACCTATAAGCAATACACTTGTAATCGTGTAAACTTATAAATGATATAGTTGACTAGTAGATTAGTACATAAATACAAATTACTTAATTAGATATGAGTTATGTCTACATGAGTGATTGACTAATATGACTATATGAGCAATTGTCAATTTAGCATAGCTGCATAACAGATTAGCAGCGTACTAGACTATCATACTCGGTAATATACTAATACCATTTCAGTATTTGATCTACTAGACTCAAGTTAAAAATTACTCTTTCTGATTAACTTGTTAGTCTAATTAAGTAATTACTAATTACTAATTAGTGACTTAAGCCTTAAGGGTAAACCAGTAAAGGATATACAAAAATATAATAATCTTATGTTTCTCATCCCTTTATACTAATAATATCTAACTATGAGAATATGAGATGGTTATATGTTATGTATCTGTATAATCGATTGAAGGAATCAACATTACCTTCTTCTTCATTAATGTTTTCTTTCATTATACAAATCAAACTACTCTGTAATATCTTCATGTATAACTTTATGCAAATATATAATGATAAACGAGTCTTAATTATCAGTCTTGTTGACTAATTAAGTATCGAATACCAAATTGCAAATTTCGATGTCACAACAACTCATCAAATCATGATTATGACACTATTAACTAAATGATCAAATCGGAAACAGATAATAATCTGATAGTAAAACAATAATACATTAATGCACTAAACTTTTATAATCTACTTCATAATAAACTAGTAAGATCAGTATAGCTAAACTTAAATCATAACATGATATGTATTTATAAAATTAATGAGAATTTGCATATAATATGATGCCTCAATATGAAGTGATGAAGTCTCGGCTTGATATAAAACTTGTTAACTAGCAAAAAGTTAGAAAGTAGTACAAAATTTTTTGAAATCAAAAACAGACTCGAACCGTAATTTAGTAAATCTGAAATAAAACCGATCTAAATAATGTTAAATCATAGAAGAACCAAACCCGTGAACGAACCGAACCAGTTATAACCGAACTAAAATAAAACTAAACCAAAAAACAACTGAACCGTTTCCAACCTGAAACCGTTTGAACCGGGATAATAACCATTTACACCGAACCGTTAACAAACCGCAACCCGTCTGCACCGAACCGTTTACTACCTGGAATTTTTACAACCCGCACCGTTTACAAACCGAACCGAATTTAAACCGGGTTAAAAACCATTTACACCGAACCGTTAACAAACCGCAACCCGTCTGCACCGAACCGTTTACAACCCGAACCGAATTTAAACCGGGTTAAAAACCGTTTACACCGAACCGTTAACAAACCGCAACCCGTTTGCACCGAATCGTTTACTAACCGAACCGTTTATAACCCGAACCGAATTTAAACCGTTCAAGAATAAACCGAAACCGAACCGAACCGATAATTATTTAAACCGAACCGAAACCGACCCGTAAGACATTTGAACCGATTTCAAACCGACCCGATTTCAAACCGAACCGATTTCAAACCGAACCGAAACCGAACTGTCAAACCGTTTTGACAGTGCTAGGTGCATAGGTTAGTGCAATTTTTGGCGAACTTGATTTTAATTTTTAATAATATCATTTTGATTACAATGAACTAATATCAATTACGCATATTATGTAATTTATGTATATGATTATCTAATTTTCTCAAAAAAAAAAATGATTATGATCTGATGATAAATCAGCATATTGCTCACTACTTACAAGAAATTTTATTTTAATATACTTTTGATGATGCTTCTCATTAATTTTTTCAGGCATTTAACATAAATTACATCATTTAGCAACAAACATTAGGAACAATAACAATATAGCACAAGAAACAACAGAAAGAAAAGCAATGGAAGATTGGATTGGATGCAACAATAAGCTGAGAGAAAGGAGAACCATATCAATACATCATAAAAAGGTTAATATATATGTAAAAGCAACATTAATGGTTATTGTTATCATGAAATGCGAAACAAGACTTTCAACATGGACCTAAAAAAGACCTAAAGGGTTGTCCACTTGAACACATTCATGCCCTTGATGATCACTCTTGACTCTTGAGGTACAAAAGCCATTATTTTGTGCTCAAACACATCAATATTTTCACAGCCATTGTGGACCAATATGAAGTAATAGTCACAAAACTTGTGTAGTCCATAAGAACCCTGTTGATATTGGGAGACATATCAATAACAAAACCAATGCTGCTACCACTGTAAAGTGCTGAGTTTTGACAAAAATTCTATTATAGTGGTAATTGGTTATTGATTTTTTAACATTTACATTGATGAATTAACTAATTAAGTGCTTGAAATTATGAATAGTCGTGGTTTACCAACTGTTATGAATCTCCTAAGTAATTAGGTTAGGGTTTACCCTCTAGGGGTAATAATTGTTTCGATGTGGATTTAGATTTATACACGCTTGGACAGATATAAATGTTAAATATGTACTCGCCATCCACGATAAGTATACATATAGCCATATAGGTATATAATTATAAATTTTGTCGGGTACGGGTGTGGGTGTGTGGACACCGCACCCACTCCCCTATTGCCATTCATAAATTGCTGCTTCATTTTATGAAGCTTTGTATAAAGTGGACCATTGCGAGAGGCCAACCGGCCCAACTTTATGTCCCTATCTCGCTTTAGCAATGTTGCTAACAGCTATATTCTATACGTATAGTACTAATATTTAAAATCAATTAAAGGAGCCAAACGGGGGATGTAGCTCAAATGGTAGAGCGCTCGCTTTGCATGCGAGAGGCACGGGGTTCGATCCCCCGCATCTCCAAATGTTTTTTTTTCCTTGGAGTATGGCATTTGAGAATTGACGTTGCATCGGTTGAATTTGTTTTAAAAAAGTTTTTTCCCATCAGATTTGATACTGTTAATATAACTATCTGAGCATCAATATATAAATTTTCAACTATGAGCTAATTAAAGATTTGGGGATGTCGTAGTGAGTCTTGTAACCTCCATTTATAAATATTATAGGTATGAATAACATGCTATTTAATGAATTCTCACAGTATAACAAGGCAAAGTAGGCAAGTTTTAGAAGTAATAAGTATAGTTGTTAGATGACTTAGATCTTAAATGTCATTAAGAGGGAAAAATAATAAGAGTAACTCCAATGATTGGGAAAAGGGACTAGCTTGCAAATATTAAAAATCTTAAGCTAATAGCTTTACCACTGTTGCACATCTTGTTGATTAGCTTTGGCAAGCAAATAAGCTTTGTGGAGCTAATTAGCTTGGTAAATAATTATTAGATAAAAGCTATTATTAATTTAAAAACAAACTAATTTACAACTAGCTAACCATTAAAGCGACAAATAGCTAGAATTGTTGTAGCTTAAGGAGATGATGTGGCATGACAAACTATTAAATAAATTAGACACCATTATAGTTGCTCTAAGCACTTTCATCACAACTGATTTCTACACCATAAATGTATAAAGCATGTCACACCGGTCAACACAAAATCTCAAATGGTTCGAAAATATGAAAACATTATTATTTAACCAACACCACGATAATTAGCTAGATAGCTTGAAATGTTGCACAAAGAAAAGGAACACTCATCAAGACCCTTAACAACTGCTAATAAAACAAAACAAATGGTTTGATCACGTTAAGATCACACGCAAGTTCAACAAAGCCTAAGCATGACAAATAGAACGTAGATTACAGTTTATCAAGCTCCGTTGTGCAATGTTATCATACATCACACATTACTGGAACATTGACCTTTCTTCATCGTTTCCATGATTCCATTAATGTAGTCAGTGCTACATTAGAGGATCCTCCTTTGAGTACATCCCTAGCCTTGTCTTTTAAATCCAACACTCGTTTTTTTATAACATCCCTTTCTTCAGAGTTCACAATTTGCTTGACTCGCTTCTCAATCTCACTCGAGCTTACAAACAGGTCTTTAGACTCGTTCATTGGTAACGCAATCCCTATTTCATCCACGAGAACTATCCTATTAAACCTTTGCTCAGCATAGAGTGGCCACGCCACTATAGGAACTCCAGCATCAATAGCCTCTAAAGTCGAGTTCCATCCACAATGACTCACAAACCCGGCTATTGATTCATGACCCAACACGTCAATTTGTGGTGCCCATGACTTGACCACATAACCCTTTTCCTTAGTCCTCTCCATAAACCCTTCTGGTAGGAACGAGTCCAAATCCGGCTCGGGTGGCTTAAAGAATGCATCACCTTTTTCCTCGCGACGTGGGGCCCGAACAACCCACAAAAACCTAACTCCACTCCTCTCCAATCCAAAAGCCATCTCCCACAATTGCTCCTTAGAAAATACACCCCTACTTCCAAAACTCAAGTAAACCACACTTTGACTAGGTTGTGAGTCCAGCCATTTTAGACACTCATGCCTTGGTTCACCATTATTTTTCGCACCGTCGCCACGGTTAGCGATCAAAGGCCCAATACAATAAACAGGTGGAACTGAGGTACCAAGAAGACAAGTCCCCTGTTTTAAGGCCTTAACAGCATTAACCTCCAATGACTCAAAAGTATTGATGATAATTCCATCAGCTTTAGGCAATGTTTCAGCTAATTTAACAAATTCACGATAACTTCCGCCACGATCAAGCATTGGCTGAATCATACAGTTAGCTGGAACAGAGTACAAACCTGGAATCTCAAGAGTAATGTCAAGATCCTTGAAAGAAGCAGAGGTAATTTTGTCGAATACCGGGAAGTTAAGAAAGAAAGTAAGAGAAGAAGCGCTAGAAGTGAAGAAAAAGTAAGTGAGTATTTTCAGAGATTGAGAAACTTCAACAGCAGGGTAACAAAAGAAGTCAAGAATGAAAGCTGAAACAGGGGAAAGTGAATTGAGAGATTCTAACACATTAGGATTATTACTACGAAAGATTTCGAATTTCAAATGCTCTAAATTCTGGTACTTTAAAGGGTCACCAAGAGCAAGAGGAACAGAAGGAAGAGAAAGAAATTTAATTGAAGGAAAAGAGGAAGAAACAGAGGACATGTAAGAGGAATATGAACCAGTTATAAAGGGGAAATCTAAGATGAGAATAGTAATGGAGGAGATAGATGATGAATGAGATAAGAGAAGCTTTCCAAGCTCAACCATGGAGATTAAGTGGCCAATGCCAGGTGATGGGTAGAGTACAATGTTCTCCATTGTTGTAAAAAAAAACAAACAAAGGTGTTTTGACGGAAGAAGAGATTAATTAGGAAATGCCTTAGCTTTTGTAGTGTACCTATTTAAAGGAAGAAGTGTGTGGGTTTGTGTTTGTGGTGTGTGGTAGTAGTAGCAGATCAACGGACTTTATCTTAAAAGCTGAACGAGTAGTTGATATTTTTCTTTTGAAAGGCGATATTTATGAAGGTGCTCCCTCTTTTGGGGTTTTTTTAAGTGCTAACTATTAAATGACCAACTCAGTCAAAAGTTTAAGCTGATAATTAAAGCTCAAGATCGGGTTATATACTCTTATCACGCTCCTCACATTAAAGCCCATTAAGTAAAAAGGGAGGTTGGGAGTTTTTTTTTTTTTTTTTTTTTTTGAAGAGAAGATAGAGCATTAATATTAATCAACCAAATAAATGGATAACCTCTGAGTTCCCCTCTGTATCTCCCCTCGCCACTAGATGAGCCAAAGTGTTACAACACCTCTTTGCATGGGAAAAAATACAATAATTAAACTAAGCTCTATCTAACACAATATCATTATAAACTCTAAACATAGGAGCCAAACCGGCAACACCATGAGTCGATAATACCTTGACAACATTCAAGGCATCGATTTCGACCCACAGCTTTGAGAAACCAAATCTTCTAGCCAAATTCAATGCAAAACGAACCGCTTGCGCCTCAGGTTGGGAGTTAGATTATAAACATCTCTATAATCATTACTAAAGCAAAAACCTATACTATTGTTTTTCCCTCCTAAATTCCTTTAATTTTCCTCCTCTTTTTTCTTTTATCTTTTTTAATTTTTATTTTTTCAACTCCCTACATTTTAGAATGGCTTTTAGTTGGTTCTCCTTGATTATTTCTTTAAGTTGTTACTTTTTTCTTTATTTTTAAAAAACACTTTTACCTCATCTGTTTTACACTTATTTGTAAGAAATTGTAAAGTTGTTGACATATTTTTTTTCAAGACATTCTTAACAAACTTTGAAAATAATTGTGAACATATACATGGATGAGTTAATTAAATTGATAGATAAGTAAAATAAGGTTATTTTGATCTCTTAAAAAGCTTTAAAATTGATTATTATTAAGTGTATTACGGAGTATATTCTACAAGGTTTTTTTTTTCTTCTAATAAACGACAATTTTTTCTTAAAAAAAATAGTTAAATAATTATAATTAGTCTATCATTTTTCTTTTTGTTCATGTCAAATTTAATTAAAATTTGTGATTTTTTTTTTATCAAAAATTTGTACTTTCATTAATGCTAAATTTTAATAATTATATTTAAAAAATTTCATTATTTACAAATAACTTAAAAATCTGATTATCTAGTTGATTGCTAGAGTAAGCTCCTTCCGTTCAATTACTTGGTAGAGCAAGGCACAAACACCACATCTTTGACATAATGATTGACCAAAACCCCAAAACAATTCACAAGTCACTTTTGGCAGTACTTTAATTATTGCCTTATTGGAGAAACCGTTACCCCACTACCATGTGATAATCGTGGAAGGAAAAAAAAAAAAAAAAAAAAAAAAAAAAAAACTTAAATATTGCCATAACATGCCATAATATGCATCCCAATATGGCATAAGTAATAAAAGGCTCAAAATAAAGTAAAGACAAGAAATTTTAAGGTTGGCACACCATCATACGTAACATTGTATTATCTTCATTGATGGAATCACACTATCTTATCGGATCCGACCCATTGACAGGTCTACTTCCATGATTCCATCAATGCAGATAATGCAATCTCAGACGATTCACCATTATTTAGTGCAATCTTAGCCATATTTCCCAATTCAAGCATACGTTTCTTTACTACATCTCCTTCTTCTGATCCCAAAATCTGCTTGGCTCGCTTCTCAATATCACTCGAACTAACAAACCAATCTTCATTTGCATTCATTGGCACCCTTCTCTTGACTAGGAGGGGCCCGAACAGTCCACAAAAATCTCACCCCACTCCTTTCTAACCCAAAAGCTATCTCCCATATTTGCTCCTTAGAAAACACACCTCTACTCCCAAACCCCAAGTACACCACACTCCGACTAGGTTGCGAGTCGAGCCATTTCAAACACTCATGCCTCTCTTCAACATTGTTCTCCGCACGGCCGCCACGGTTAGCAAACAAAGGCCCAATACAATAAACAGGAGGAATTTGAGTACCAGGAAGACAAGTCCCTTGTTTCAAACCCTTAACAGCTTTAACCTCTGACGACTCGAAAGTATTAATAATAATCCCATCAGACTTAGGCATAGTTTCAGCCATTTTAACAAACTCATAATAACTCACACCTCAATCAAGCATAGGCTCGAGCATATGATCAGCAGGAACAGAAAACAACCCTGAAATCTCAAAAGAAGTCTTAAGATTCCTGTAAGAATCAGTGGCGATTTTGTCGAAAACCGGGAAGTTAAAACATAATGCTAAACCAGAAGCACTTGAAGTAAAGAAAAAGTAAGTGGGTATTTAAAGTGATTGAGAAACTTCAACAGCAGGGTAACAAAAGATGTCAAGAATGAAGAAACAGGGGAAGAGATAGAAATCGATTCAAGTGATTGCTTGACATTGTTGCTATTACTACGAAGAAATTCGTAGAGTATTTGTTCAAAATCTTTGTAATTTGATGGATCAACAAGTATTAGAGGAACTGAAGGCAGAGGAAGTAAGGTGATTGAAGGGAACAAAGCCGAAACGGAGGAAATGTAAGAGGAATATGAGCCAGTTAATATGGAAAAGTTTGTGATTAGAATCGTAATGGAGGAGATAGAAGATGAGTGAGATAATAGAAGTTTTCCGAGCTCAACCATGGAGATTAAATGGCCGATTCCTGGTGATGGGTACATCACTATTTTCTCCATTGTTAGAAAAACAGAGGAGTTTGAGCTTTTTTTTTTTTAGGAAGATGAAATGTGGGAATTGAAACAAGAAAATTAATTGATTGTTATTTAACCCTATTATTATCTGAGTTGTAAAGCAAATGTGTTATTGTCTGAGGTTCGTGGACTCGTGGTGCACGTTTTCTTTTTTGTAAATTGAACTTAATTAATGGATAAGGTGTTTAAGAGAAAATGTAAGTGATAATCTTAGAAATTTCAGCAGTCAAGACGTGATAATTCATGACACTTACAATGAAATTGTGGCCATCATACAATTGCTTTGATATTTTTAGATTCACAAATCAAATTCTTATAGAATTACTCTCTTTGTCCCGCAATCATTCATTGCTTGTCAAATTTAGTGCACATTGCTAATATACTCTCTTCGTTTCTAAATAATTGACCATTTAAACTTAGCACACATGCCAATGTACATGGTTGATCTTAATTGTTATTATAGGTTTTAGATAGGTAACAAATAGTGGAAAGCATTAAACTTTCTAACCAAACTCTTGGTAACGATAATGGTTTAATTAAAACTGCTTCCAACCCATAACACATTCTTACTAAGCATGCTCTTAAATTATTTTTCAAAAAAAACTACCCTCTCTCACACTCTCACAAATTATCTCTTTTATGGTTCTCTATTTTAATTTTATTAAAATAAATTAATCATCCAATACCAAAATACAATACTTTCTTCGTTTTACAAATATTGCAACAATTATCATTTTACGAAATTTTACAAATATTGTAACATTTTTCCACTGATTTCCGCGCACCCCAAATTGATAACCACACACCCTCTTTTGGCCCACTACAATTTACTTTCATAATTTCCTTCTAAGTGCATTAAGTCTCACGTGCCAATGTTTTACCTTTTTTTTTTTTTTAATTTTGACTTTTGCGGGTAAATTACCCAACTCCCAAATCGTAAACATTGATTTTGCTTTTTACTCCAACTCCCTAGTACACACCCCACCATCAATCTTTTAACTCCAAAAGCTTCTATTTTGTATAACAATTTGATGATCATCAACCTCCTCAGTACCCACTGATATGTATCAACTTTCATCACAAAATTTTCCGAATAAAGAAACATTGTTGGAGGTTGTTTGGGGAATGACCTACTCACAAGGCTTTGTTACGGTGATTCAAAAATCCAAAAAAACAAATGGGTTATTATTGGTTGTGATCGGGGTGGATCATATCGAACTAAATCGTAGCCATATCCCTAATAGTGGAAAGAAAAAGTCAGGAACTCGATTAATGAATTATCCATTTCAAATTTGTGGAAGAATGAACCAAGACACTAGTTGGAGAGTCGAAATTAAATATCTCTCTCATAACCATGATTTATCAAGTGATATTTCGGGACATCCTTATGCCTGGCGTTTCTCAAGGGAGGAAGTTAATGAGATTAAAGAGATGATTGCTGCTGGCATTGCTCCACGGCAGATACTTACAAAAATTCGAAAAAGGTAACTCTAATCTAAAAGCAATATCTAGAACTCTTTATAATGTGAAGGCTAAAATTATTAAAGATGAGCTAAGAGGTCGTTCAATGATCCAAGCTTTGATGGATGAACTTGGTAAAGGTGGTTTTATTTATAGATGTTGAGTGTGATAATGAAGGACATGTGACATATTTGTTGTTTTCTCATCCAAGTTCGATTGAATTAGCAAGAATTTACTCATATACTTTTGTGATAGACTGCACTTATAAGACTAACAAGTATAAAATGCCTTTACTTGATATTGTTGGAGTTACTAGTTTTAATACATCATTCTTTTGCGGATTTGCCTTCTTATCTAAAGAGGAGGAAAGTGATTATGTGTGGGCACTACAAAAATTTGGTAAGATTTTGGGTTATGATAAGCAACCATCGGTGATTGTGACTGATCAAGAATTGGCTTTGATGAATGCAATTAAAGTTGTTTTCCCTAATACTTGTAATTTGTTGTGTGTAGGGCACATTGAAAAATATATTTTAGCAAAGTGCAAGCCTTTTTTTGATGATGGTGATGAATGGGATGTGTTTATGTCTGATTGGACAAATTTGATTGAATCTTCAACTGAAAATCAATTTAATGAAGCTTGGTCTGAATTTGAAGTGAAGTATGGGAAGTACTGAGAGATTCTTATTTACATTCAGAATACTTGGTTTCCATGGAAAAAATATTTTAGAGCATGGTCAAGTGAATATATGCATTTTGGGCATGTTGTTAGTTTTAGAGCCGAAGGTTCACATGCTACTTTGAAGAAATACCTTGAAGTTTCGAGTGGTGACCTTCGCACAATGAAGGTAAAAATTTGTCATGATGTTGATCATCAGTATAATGAGATTAAAACACAATTGTCAAGTGAGAAGATACGCATTCCTCATGACTTGCGTATCCCCTTCTTAAGTAAGCTCATAGGTCACGTTTCTCATTTTGTATTAAGAAAACTCCTTAACCAATTTGAGCTAGCTTATTCCGATTCTTTGTCTCCTACTTGTACTGGTCAGTTTTCAAAAACTATGGGTCTCCCTTGTGCTCACGTGATGAGAAGGATGGCAAATGAGGATTTAAAGCTTGACAACATTCATTACCAGTGGAGAATTGACAACATATCACTTTCAAAGAATGGAGAGAATAAAAAAGTTCATGGAGATCGGATTGATGTGCTTGCACAAGAGTTGCCACTCAAATATCAGCAACTACCTCTTACTCAAAAAGAAGGTATTCGAAAACAAATTTCCCAATTTGTTAGTTGTTCAAGTCCTTTGGTTCTTGAACCCATGATTCGTCAATCTAAAACTCTTATAACTGATTCAAAAATAAAGAAAAAACAAAGTACTTCTACAAAGAGGGATCCTTCAGTTTTTTAGATGGTCGTAAAGGTCAGAAGGTGCAGCATGTGTGGCAACACGAGTCATGATCGTAGAAGATGTCCTAAAAATACTACTCAAAATTCTTCAATATCCTTCATGCCTCCAATTTTGAATGACTTGGCTAGTCCATCCACCTCTTTTGTTGTTGATTTGAACCTTTTGCCTCCAAACTCGAATTACAATAAATCATCGTAAGGTAAATTTTTTTTTGGTAAGTTGTTTTTATATTGTCATGCTATTGTACTATTATATAAAAGATATTATATTAACATGTTTAATTAATATTGTGAAGGTCGAGAATATTTGATTTTATGTGATGTCCACGATACAAAGTGCAAAGACACTAATTAAGGTAATGCATTTTTTTTTCGTAGTTTGGTTTTATGTTTAGTTGTCTAAACTAACTATTATATGCTATTGTAGTTTTGTCGTAATGGATGCAGGTTTAGTCATTGGAATAGTTAGTTTGAAGTTACTGGCACAAGATCTTTGGAGTAGCTTTGGTTGATGAATCGTATTCATGTATCATTTGAGACAATATTTGTTTTTTTTTTTGCCCAACATTTGTATTTTGTTAAAAACTTAATTGAGATAATCATAGTTATTAATTGAAGATGTTTAATATTTTATAATATCAGTTGATTATAAAATGTCATTTTTTTAAGAAAAAAAAAATGTCATTTCCATTTTTATATTTATGTAAAAAAAAAAAAAAATCAAACTTGACTCACGGTAGAAAACTACTGCTATTGTGCTAAAAATACTTAACACTTGTTTCAGAATTAGAACAAACAAAAACTACTACAAAAAAAAATAATAACAAAATAAAATAGATTAACAACTAAAACAAAATACATAAAGCAAAGAAAAGTCAAATATCAATTTGCTTTCTCACGTGCAAAGTTGTGAGATTTGATTATGGGATGTGCGGAAATCAGTAGCCATTTTTCATGTATGCACATGTTTTTTTTTTTCTTTTTTTTCTCTCTCCTTATCACATGATCCCTACTTTAATCCTCTTTATTTCTTTATTTCTTAAAATTCGTGTCCATCCCCATGTTGCAATATTTGAAGAGCGAATGAAGTATAAGAAATTTCATCAAGAAAATAACTTTCCATGTAACTTCATATTGGAAATAAATTCCCATGTAAAACAAATGAGGCCAAAGATATAACAGATGAGTAAATAAGTTTTGGAAGTGAACAAATTTACGAGCAAATTCAAGTTTATCATTATGATAAACTTGATTTGTTTATCAAAGGGTATATCGGACTATTTAAACATGAATAGTAGGGACAATTTTGTCAATTTATATTTTTGTTAGGGAAAGTTATTAGCCTTGCTGTTAGTCAAAGTAAACAGTTGGTGAACAATACTTTATCTTCTTCCCTCTACATCTTCATCTCTTTCCCCAAAAATAAAAACTTCAAACCCTCAAGAGCAGCTTCAATGGAAGATGAAAGAGGACAAAAAATTTACCCTTAAGGGTTAACCATTCCTGTTATTTCTCCCATTTATTTTAGGGTTTTCTTTTAATTTGCGGCGAAGCCGCTCGAAATGTGGTTGCGGCGAAGCCGCCAGAAATGTGGTTGTAGAAATGGTGGCTGTCAGGTAATTGTAATGGAGGAGATGGATATATGAAAGAAAACATGGTGATGAAATGGCTTACTAATTTTTGTGGGCAACTGATTTCGTTTCTTATTGATTTTTGCGGGCAATTGGCTTCGTTTCTTACTGATTTTTGTGGGCAACGACCTTCCTCCATTTTTGTAGAAGGGAGAAGCTGGGTAAAAGTTATTCAATGACAAAAGAAATAATATAAAAACCCATTGCGCGAAAACCAAGGCGACTTAATTACTACTATGCCATTTGATAAACAGCTAAGGTTTATCAAAATATAAACCTGGCTTCCTCCAAATTTACAAGGCCACCCCAATTGTGTCTCCATTGGATCTTATACTCCCGTGAGTCTGACTAGCTCATGGTCCATGAAAAGTACTTGAATGACTTATGCGGTAAACAAGTCCATTATACAGAAATATACTTTTGTTTTTAAAATTTCCAAACCATTCTTTACACTCTTGTTTTTAGGATAAGTATATACAATGCATTAAAAATAAAAGATAAAAACTCAAAAATAGCTTCCAATATAGGCAACATCCAAAGATCACTTCATTATTTCTAACAAATTGAGAATTCCAGAACAATTGCACAAGTAATTAAGCTTATTAAGGATTTAACAGAAGTAGAGACTAGAAAGCTTTAAAAAAAAAGTAAAACCCAGAAATTGTAATGTCAGCATAGCAACTTATATAACATTGTACAATCTTCAATGTATCCATGATTCCATTAGCGCAGTTAATGCAACATTAGATGATTGTCCTTCATTGAGAGCAATTTTACCCTTCTCACTCATTTTGAGCATTTGTTTTCTTACAATATCTCCTTCCGAGCCCAAAATTTGCTTAACTCGCTTCTCAATCTCACTTGAACTCACAAACCAATCTTCATTTTCATCCATTGGTAATGCTATCCCGATCTCCTCCACAATCAGAATCTTATTAAACCTTTGCTCAGCGTAAAGAGGCCACGCCACCATAGGCACCCCAGCATCCACAGCCTCTAAAGTTGAGTTCCACCCACAATGACTCACAAACCCACCCACCGATTCATGACCCAACACCGCAATCTGTGGGACCCATGACTTAGCCACATGGCCCCTATCTTTAGTCCGATCCAAAAACCCTTCTGGAAGGATCGAGTCCAGATCCGGATCCGGTGGCTGGGACAAATTGGCACCCTTTTCTTGACTAGGAGGGGCCCGAACAGTCCACAGAAATCTCACCCCACTCCTTTCTAACCCAAAAGCTATCTCCCATATTTGCTCCTTAGAAAACATACCTCTACTCCCGAACCCCAGGTACACAACACTTTTACTTGGTTGCGAATCAAGCCACTTCAGACATTCATGCCTCTCTTCACCATTATTCTCCGCACCGGCGCCACGGTTAGCAAACAAAGGCCCAATACAATAAACAGGAGGGATTTGAGTACCAGGAAGACAAGTCCCCTGCTTCAAACCCTTAACAGCTTTAACCTCTAACGACTCGAAAGTATTAACGATGATCCCATCGGACTTGGGCATAGTTTCAGCCATTTTAACAAACTCATGATAACTCACACCTCGATCAAGCATAGGCTCGAGCATATGACTAGCAGGAACAGAGAACAATCCCGGAATCTCAAAAGAAGCCGAATCCTTAAGGTTCCTGTAAGAATCAGTGGCAATTTTGTCGAACACCGGGAAATTAAGAAAGAATGCTAGAGCAGAAGCGCCAGAAGTGAAGAAAAAGTAAGTGGGTAATTTAAGTGTCTGAGAAACTTCAACAGCAGAGTAACAAAAGAAGTCAATAATGAAGGCTGAAACAGGAGAAGAGATAGAAATCGATTCGAGGGATTGTTTGACATTTTGGCTATTACTTCGAAGAATTTCATAAAGCATATGTTCAACATCTTCGTAATTTGATGGATCACCAAGTAGTAGAGGAATTGAAGGAAGAGAAAGGAAGGTGATCGAAGGGAACGAAGCCGAAACAGAAGAGATATAGGATGAATATGAACTACTCAGTGATGGGAAGTTTGCGATTAGAATGGTAATGGAAGAGATAGAAGATGAATGAGATAAGAGAAGTTTTCCGAGCTCAACCATGGAGATTAAATGGCCGATTCCTGGTGAAGGGTAAAGTACTATTTTCTCCATTGTTGGAAAAGCAGAGGAGTTTGAGCTTTTGTTTTTTGAGAAGATTGAATAAAATGTGGGAATAGAAACAAGAAAACTACACTATTGACTGTAATTTAAGCATGTTATTATCTGAACCAACTGTGTGATTGTCCGAGTATCGTGGACTCGTGGCTCACGTTTTTTTTGAATTGAACTTAGATAAATGGAGAAGGTGTACAAGAAATTCTTAGTGGAAATCTTTGAGATTTCAGTAGTTAAGATGGTGATGTAATCCATGACCATTACAATGAAATCGTGGCCAACTTACAACTACTTTCTCAGTTTTAAATTCACGAATCACTATCAAACATAAATGCTACGGAGTAGTTAAAATTTAAAACACATTTTAATTCACTAGTTTGACAATCAATATAAGTTACTATCTCATTACAAGGTGTGTTCCTTGTTTTCAAAATAATGTGAAACTTTGATATAAAGATTAATACTAATAGGGAGTGATAGCTCTAATAATAATTAACAAAAACATCAAGACTACATCCTCATTTTTTAAATTGTTTAACTTCATTCACCCACTTCGCTTTGGCCATCATTTACTAATAATGAAAAACATAGCTACGTTAGATCTCGTTAAATTCGTCTCGATATAGATTTTTCAAATATATAATTTTTACAATCATACAATTATAGATATAAAAGGTCAAAGTTGTGTATTGAAATATGTCTTAAGTTAGAGTGGAATAACTAATAATAAACCAAGTACAGTAGTAATTTAAAATTTTAAGTACCTCGCTTGTCCAGCATCTAGAGTTTTCTTAAGTACTTGCAATACAGTAAGGATTATGCTAGAATTAAACTAGACACTTTGCAATATTAGTGAGATACAGGTTTTTGATTTTTTTTTAAAAAGAGTGTGTAAACTTCAAAAATCAAAGTTCATAAGATAACTTCCTATGCACAAATGGTAGTCTAAACAAAGACTAAAGACTATAAATTTTAATGCTGGCACAACTTCTTACATAACTAGAGGTGGCCAGTGGGCCGGGTTGGACCCAGCCCACCCTAACTCGCACGGCTGGTGGGTCACGTGGGTCCGACCCGGTTTCAATCCGGCACAGCCCGGCACAGCTCGGATTTAATCCGGGTTGTGTCGTGGGTCCAAAATTTTCGACACAACCCATTTCAACCCAGCTCAGTTTAACCCGTTTGATTCGACCCAAATCGCACAACCCGTTTTGACTCATTTAATTCGACACACCTAGCCCGTGAACCCACCTAACCCGACCCACCTGGCACAACCCAGCCCGCACGGCCCACCCGCACGAATGACCCACCCAACCCGCACGAGCCAACCCACCTAACCCGCACGCATGACCCACCCAACCCGCACGCATGACCCACCCAACCCGCACGGCCGGCACAACCCGCACGGCCCGCACAACCCGCACGGCCCGCACAGCCCGCACAATTCGCACGACCCGCACGGCCTAACATCCATTTAAAAAAAAAACGGCTAGTTTTTTGTATCTAACGGCTAGTTTTTTGTATCTAACGGCTAGTTTTTTAAGTGTATGATCATCCATTCTATTTTTCCTATAAATACCAATTCCATTTCACTCAAATTTCCACACAAATTCAAGCTTTCTTTCTCTCTTACTTAAAAATTCTTATTGTTCTCAAATTCTCAAGTGTTATATAGAGTTATATTTTTGTTAAAAAAAATCTCCTTAATATTATTATTAGTATTCTTAAGATTCTAAAAAAAAAAAAGTTCTTCTCCATATTATAATTAGTAATCATACAAAAAAAAATGAGCTCAAGAGGAGGAATGGGAAGGAGTCAAAGTGGTGGTCGAAGTGGTAGCCAAAGGAGTGGTGGTGCAAATTTTTCGTATGAAATTAATACGGAAAATTTAAACCAATTTGTCAATGAATATGGAGATTATGGTTTAGGAGATAGGCAAAATATTCAAACGTCTCCACCACAACATTTCTCCCACGAGTCCCACCAATCATCAAGTTCAACTATGCCACCTCCATCGCAACCAACATCTCAACCTTCATCTCAAGGTAATTTCTAATTAAATTTTTATTGTTATGAATATTTAAAAAAACTATTATTAATGATTATAAAGTTAGTTTAGTTTCCAATTTTCTATGATTTACAATTAGTTAATTACCATGAAAAATGCGTTTAAATAAGTATAATTAAAATATTTAAAATTTAAAAGCTTATTTTCATGAATAGCATTTAAAAATTAATTTTAATAATTTGATTTATGAAAGGTGGTGGCGGTGAAAGTAGAGGTCGAGCACATTTTTCTTGGGTGTGGAAACATTTTGAACGAGTTGAGGTCACACCCCCGGGATGGCAACCTGGTCAACCAAAGAGGTTCACGTGTACATGCCTAGTTTGCAAGGCGCTAGGTGCAAATGTCAAGTCATATAATTGGAAAACGGGAGATGGAACCAGAACCTTGAGTCGGCATTTGCAAAATAAACACGACTTGTTCGAAAATGGCCCCCGTCCTTCGGGGGGTGGCGTCCAAACACAATTGGGTGGATACATGAACCAACCCGGCGGAGGTACACCTTTCATTTATAATAAAGATAGAATGATTGATGAAATGAGTACTTTAGTTATTGCTAATGAATACCCTTTTAGTTACGGTGAAAATGCAAACGTTGAGCATTTTAATAAAGTTGCATTACAACCTGCATTTACTCGTGTCCCCCGAAATACCCTAAGACGTTATACACAAACTTCTTATTATAAGTATAGGAGTGGTTTGATTGAATTATTTCGTACTTTTGATGGTCGTGTTAGTTTTACAAGTGATACATGGACTTCTAGTTTTGGCGAACCTTTTCTTTGCATTACTGCTCATTGGGTGGATGATGATTGGTTTATTCAAAAACGTATACTATGTTTTCAAGCTATGGAAGAAAGGCATACCGGTTTTAACATCAAAGTTCGTATTTTGGATTGTTTAAAAGAATTTCACTTGAATAATAAAGTTTTTTCTTTGTCTCTTGATAATGCAACTGCAAACACAAAGTGTATTGACTATTTGAAAAATGACTCCGAGTTGAATTTGTTGTTGGGTGGTAGTCTCTTGCATGTTAGATGTTGTGCTCATATTTTGAATTTGTCTGTTCAAGAGGGTCTCGCTGAGTTGCAACCATTGCTAAACCCAATTAGAACAGTTATAAAATGGATTAGGATTACTCAGTCAGTTAGAAGAAAGTACATAGCTATGTGTAAAGAGAGAGGTCTTAAGAAAAGACAATGGTCTATTGATACCCCTACCCGTTGGAATTCTACTTTCAAGTTGTTGAGTGATGCTATAAAGTATCGTGATATTTTGACCCAACTTTACAATGAGACTCGTGTTGATCCTACTGAGTTAATAACCGAAAGTCATTGGACTAATGCTTCTTTTGTTCGTGATGTTTTAAATGCTTTTGATAGTGCAACTCATATTTTCTCTTATATTTATGAGCCTAACGTTCATTTAGTCATAATTGAGTGTGTTAAAGTTGTTCACACCATCGAAGAGCATATGAAGATTGATGGACTTCGTCCCGTTCTTGATAGCATGAAACGTAAGTGGCATACTTATTTTAGTGAATTTCCAATCATTTATGGAATTGCTGCTATTCTTGACCCCGGTGTCAAAGCTGAAGGTTTGGAAAATCTTTTAGAATTTTATTATACAAGTTTAAGTATCGATTATGATGTTAGTGAATATATTAACAAATGCAAATCTGTTTTGGGAGACCTTTATGATCATTATGCATCTATTTATGGTTTTGATTTGGCAACACCAACTACTACTAGCACTTCCGATTCTAGATTTGGTTTTCTTGATAAAGTTATGAAAAAAAAACACAAAGCATCTACATCATTCTCATCATCATCTTCTTCAACACTTGCTATTAATGATTATTTGTCATATCAACATGAGACCAACAACAACTTTCAAATTATAAAATGGTGGCAAGAACATAAAAAAAGTTTTCCTATATTGGCGAGAATTGCAAAAGATATACTTGTAGTTCCCGCTTCATCTGTTGCTTCCGAGTCTGCTTTTAGTGCAGGTAGAAGAGTGTTAGATGAAAAAAGATCTCGCTTAACTCCGGAAAGCATTCAAATTTGTGTTTGTAAGAAAGATTGGGATCAAGCTGAAAGAAGAACTCAAGGTTTAAAGGAAGACGAAGACGATGAAGATGATCCTGTGATGATATTGGAGTCGTCAACGGATGATGCAGCTTCCGGGGATGATGATGCAACAAACATGGGTGGCTAGAAAAGTCTAAATCAGGTACGCTAAGAACTACGTGGGCTTTGATTCTTTCGGGATACGTAGGCAACTTATTTTTCGAAAATTACAATTTAATTGCAAAATTAAATTTTAGTTTTCTAAAGATAGGTCCAAGCCCCCCCCCCCCCAAATTTCAAAAGAAGTACAATATAAGAACTACGCTGGCTTTGATTCCTTATTTTATAATATAAGGATACGTAGGCATCTTAATTAAGAGCAAGCCATCAAATTGTTAATTTTGTAAAAATTAAAACACCACACAACCCACCCGACCCTAACCCACGAACCCACCCGACCCTAACCCACAAACCCACCCGACCCTAACCCACCTAACCCACAAACCCACCCGACCCTAACCCACTAACCCACCCGACCCTAACCCACCTAACCCACAAACCCACCCGACCCTAACCCACTAACCCACCCTTCGACCCACCCTAACTCACTAACCCACCTTGACCCGTCTAACCCACGAACCTAGCTCGACCCACCCATGACCCGTCTAACCCACAAACCCAGCTCGACCCACCCACGATCCGTCTAACCCACAAACCCAGCTCGACCCACCCACGACTCGTCTAACCCACGAACCTAACCCTGGTGTGTCCAACTTCTCCGACCCAACCCACGACCCGGCCCACCCTACCCTACGTGTGTCGTGCCGTGTGTCATGAAACCCCAACCCGCGACCCACCTAACCCTAACCCAGCTCGCACGACTCGCACGGTGGACACCTCTATACATAACACATTAACATTGTACTATCTTCAATGTTTCCATGATTCTATTAATGCAGTTAATGTAATCTCTGACGATTCTCCTTCATTCAGTGCGATCTTAGCCTTACTTCTCAATTCGAGCATACGTTTCCTTGCTACATCCCCTTCCTCCGATCCCAAAATTTGCTTGACTCGCTTCTCAATCTTAGTTGAGCTCACAAACCAATCTTCCTTATCTCCTCCACAATCAAAATCTTAATAAACCTTTGCTCAGCATAAAGAGACCAAGCCACCATAGGCACCCCAGCATCCACTGCCTCTAAAGTCGAG